TCTAGGTAAGTGATTGATTATGGAAGTAATTTTCGTATTTGGAAGATATTTGTGAGACAAGAGACAATGGATCTCGGCCGAGTCCGATTAATCCGGCGGTGCCGCTAAAGAGACCATTGTTGTTCTCGCCGCAACCGAAGAGGAAATTGGGGAAAACATCGGAGGGTGTCATTGTGTGTCACGACCTAAACCCGGCCCTATGGGTTTAGCACCGTAACCGGCCAGTAATCCGAGATTACCGAAGGCCTGCCTAACAGTAAACCAGTAAAACAGAGTACAGGGCCTGGCGGAAGCCAATATAGTAAATGAATAATGTCCAATGAGCTGTGACAGTCTACACATACATGCACAATCATTCAGAACAGGGATCTAATCCCTATTAAATGGTACAGTAACAGTCTATACAGTCTATACAGTAAACAAAACAGTTACAGGGACGGATAGGAAATATTAAAACACCCCAAAGCCGAAGCTTGAACGGCTTAGAACCTCACAGTGAGGCACAGTGGTTGACTGACAAAACAAAAACTTGCCTGACGCTCCTAGCAGCGGTCCAGTGCCTGAACACCTACATATATATATGAGCAGTGAGCTAAAGCCCAGTGAATAACATAATACATAAAGAGGTTTAGGATGAATGTCTTTTCAAAATTTAAACAGTTCATTGATTCAGTATACCGGTCAGTCAGTTTGTGGCTCATATTGATGCCGTAACAGTCATTTAGAAATCATAGTAATCGTACGTGGCACATCCGTTAGCAGTACTAGTAGCAGTGTCAGTACAGTAGCAGTAACGGTAACAATAAAGTAGCAGTAACAGTAACAGTACAGTAGCAGTAACAGTAACAGTACAGTAGCAGTAACAGTAACAGTACAAGCAGTACAGTAACAGTAACAGTGCACAAGCAGTACAGTAACAGTAACAGTACAGTAGCAGTACAGTAATAGTAACAGTACAGTAGCAGTACAAGCAGTACAATAACAGTAACAGTACAGTAGCAGTACAGTAACATTTCAGAAAACAGTACAGTTCTTATGGATTCAAGAGGTGTCTCGCACAGACTCTAGAGGTGGCTCACTCTGTAGCACTTAGTTCCGTGCAGCACTTTGCTCCAAGTTTCACAGATTATAACAGTCATATGTGGTACATCCAGTAGCTAAACAGTACAGTAGGTCTTAACAGACCAGGTCTTAATAGACCAAACAGTGAATGATGGCCATCATATCAGTAAACAGTAGTGGTTCCAACATGGGAACCGACAGAGATCTCTGTAACAGTAACAGTAAGCAGTAGTTGCTAAGGATGCCACAATACAGTTCAGAATATAGGTCATACATTCATTCATTCAGTTAACAATAACAGTTCAGAAACAGTTCAGTTTAATTGTTCAGAAGATAATCATTTTGAACATATCTTTACACAAATGTTACTCACAGAGTTCTGGGCTATAGTAAGCTAGAGCGTCTCCTCGGAAGTCAACCCTACACAGTCAACAGATCGAACACACACTAAGCTACACAGTTGGGAAAGATAATAACTTAACCCCTAATGCCTCGGTGTGTTCTACATCTATATCCTCATTAAGATGTCTTAAACTAGGCCTAAGAATGCCTAGAATGGGATGAGGATACAAAGATGCGCTCAAAAAAACATTTTCAGAAAATCAGAGGTCCCGCTCGAGCGTGGGTTTCCCCGCTCGAGCGGACATGCTGACAAAGGTCTCCGCTCGAGCGTACATTACTCCGCTCGAGCGGACTGTAAAACAGTGCAAGATGCTGGGAGCTCGATTTTCCCGCTCGAGCGGCACTTCCCCCGCTCGAGCGGACGACTGAAATCTGGAAATCCCAGATTCGAGCTCCAGGTTCAAAACCAAGCTTAGATGCATAAACTTCGATCCTCTTGGGCCAATTTTTTGGAAAACTCTTTTAAACACATAGAATACCATGTTTCAAAACTCAATTTAGAAAATCAAAGCCCAAGGGTGTTTTATTCAAACCCAATTTCAAACCATTTTCCAAGAACAATCCTCAAACATGACATGCATGATCTTAAATCATTTTCAAAGCTTCAATTTGATGCTCTAGGGAGCCAATTGATCCAAAAACAAGTTGAAAACATGGACCATTACAAAATTATGAACATGCATGTGACATTTTGCCATGAACTCAACTCAAAATCCAACAATACCAACATGCATGCAAAGATTGAGCTTCAATTCACCATTAATGGACCAATTCATGACTTAGCTCTATAACTAGACATGAACCATGCAAGAACTAGTTCAAACACAAAATCAAAAGGATGAAATTCATACCTAGGTTCCTTGAATGCAAGTTTAGAGGTTCAAATATGCACTCAACCTTGAAGTTCTTCAATTAGCAAGCAAAATTCAAGATGGAAGACAAGTTCTCTCACTCTCTCCCTCTCATGGTCGGCTAGAACAAGAAGAAGGCTGAGGAAGATGTTTGTTTCAATGGGTACAAGGCTCTAGTATGATATAATAAGGGTCCCACTAGCAATGGCAAGATGGTAAATAAGTCTAACTCTTCAATTAGCTTATTCTAATCTAATTTAATCATACCTAATCAGTTTTCAGGTAAATATACCATAAAATCATATTAATTATGACGATCATAAAACATTAATCGGTTTCTAATTCAGCCGCCGATAAGGCCTTCAATTAGCAGTTTAAACATATAAGCATGGACAGATAATCATACAGTCAAACAGATAAAATGCAATTTAACTAACATATATTCAATCAATTCGGTTTCCAATTTCAGTCAGTCAGTTCAGTATTTTTACCAGTCCAATTATCAGTCATAATCAATTCAGTTTAACGGTAATCAGTGTTTATCGGTAAACAGTAACGAGGGTTGTTACACTGTGATAGTTTCCGATCAAAAAAAACCTTCAGAGAATGACGAATCGCCGTACCTGACGCCGTAGACGCAGGTGTTGGTGAAACAACGAGGAGGGAAGCCGGTGGCGGAGGAGAGCTGAGAGCACTGCTGCGAGCTACAAGTGATGTTGGTGTATGTGGATGAGAGCGAAGGATCGTAGACTGGTTCTTGTTGTAGATAGCAGGAACCGAGACATGGCTGGCATTGAGTCCAGCTGAAATCGCTGCCGGTGTCGAAGATGAGGGTGAAGTCTTTTTTCGGGGTTCCGAGTCCAATTCTCACGATGTAGTTTCCGGTGCCAATTGAATTGCCGGAGTTCACCGGAATAGTCGTGGCCTTGGACTCTTTTAGACTGTTTTGTCTCAGTCGAGACTGGATTGAGTTGACTCGGGACTGGTCACGACGGAGGATCTCAGTCACTGTTGGAGCATTCTCTTTAATTGGTTCATGTAGATGAGAGCATGGACCGTACTTGTGAACTACCTTCAGTGACGCTCCTTTCCTCTTATCTGTTAGGCATAGTTTGGGAAGTTGATTTTGGTGAGTTAGGGGTTAAAATAGTCATAAAAAAGTAAAATAGTTTTTTTAATCACAAAAAATAAAATATCAAATTTAACCCATAATCATTAAATTCTTCTCTCACAAAAAAAGTTAAAAAAGTCAAAAAGTCAAAAAGTCCTTCCCAAATCAGGCTTTTTAGCCCCAGGTTAAAATAGCCAAAAAAGTTCAACGGAGCAAAACCAGAGGTGTTTGGTTGAGGTTCACGGGCCACCGCACCAGTTATCTCTCTTGTTGACTCGTTGAGGTCGGGAAAGAGAGTGAGCAGACCACGGGAAGAAGAGGCCATTTTCTGGGCGACAGAGTGTTACAGAATATCTCTCTCAGCAAAACGAAGAGTTTTTCAGAGGTTTTTCGCAGGTTTTTGCCTCAGCCTCAGCCTCAGCCTTCATCTTAGTTAAATAGCCAAGGCAGACACGCGCATCGCGCGCCACTTGACGCCAGACGACAAAACAGGCGCGCAAGCCAAGGTAGTCACGCGCCTTGCCATCATGTTCGGCACACCTTTTTATGGATTGGGCACGCCTTTTAATGGCACGCCTTTTGAAAGATTGGGCACACCTTTTGAGGGTGCGACTTTTCCCACCGGTCCGACATGACCCCATAAACTGTCCCGACATTGATTCCGATTAGCTTCTCCATCGGTCCGGTGTGACCTCGTCAACTGTCCAGACTTTATCTGCTACAACGGTCTGCCACAACCATCCAGTGTCCTCTACAACGTTATGACACAATCATCCAGTGTCCTCTACAACGTTATGACACACCCATCCAGTGTCCTCTACAACATTATGACACACCCATCCAGTGTCCTCTACAACGTTATGACACAACAATCCAGTGTCTCCTATGTTTTATTTTCTGTATTAGTCTATTTTCTTATTTTGTTACGCTCTCCAAACTCAAGTTGGTTAGTTCCTATCCCCCTTGAGTTTGCGGGGGGCTGTTAAAACCTATCACCTACTCCACCTACCACCAAACCTACCATCACCTACTCCACCTACTACACCTACCACCAAACCTACTATCACCTACTCCACCTACTACACCTACCACCACCTACTCCACTACACCTACCACCATCTACTCCACTACACCTACATCTCCTATATGAGGAGCCCCTCACCATTTGTAATATACAACATACATCAATCAATAATACATCAATTTTAACAAAAACTACTATTTCACTTGCTCATCAAGAGCTAGCATCACCATTAACAAGTACAAACCACTATTACAAAAGCGTGCCCATGAGATGGCATCACTTTTAATCAATAGTTTTTATCAGTTTTATCTATAACATTATCAGTTGTAGATTTTCCACCCAATAATGCCACCAAAACACCACAACCTTGGCCAATGCTGCCACGAATTGAAATATCCACAAATATCATGCAACCACCTTGCCACTTATCCCATCTCCAACATCTTTATCACCATCATTGTCTCCACCTTGACCACCACCACAACCATAACAGCGCAAAAAAAAAGGGGATATAGTTTTATAAATTATAATAAGCATAAAATTTTAAAAGCAATTGCTATAAGTATTAAGTAGTAATATAGGAAACCTGAGCTAGTGACTGGTGAGCATCAGCATCAAGTGCTGCCACAGTGGCAACACCTTTCAAGGTAGTAGCTGCCATTTCCCATGTAGGTGTCAGCGCTTGGCAGTGACCACACCAAGGAGCAAAGAACTCAACTAAAACAACCCCATTCGAATTGAGAACCTGCCACCATTCAAGCAAAACACATCATCAGGCCAAAATTGTTAGAAATTTGGACTCCTTTTTATTTTATTTTTAAACATAAGTTAGAAATACAAGTTAACTGAGGGAACAAAAAAAAAACTTGGATAATGCCCAGGCACCTAATTTTTTCTATTTCCTTTTCTGTTGTAGCTGGTGATCAAAGTGATACACAAGCAATGGCATGAAAGAAAATTAACTTTAAACCCATTAAAATTAACATAAAAAAGGTAAAGAACAAGAAGAAACAAAGGAAAAGAGATGGAGGCACGGCGATGCACTCTGGCTAGACAAATTTGGCAGGCATTTTGGAGCTTGAATAGGTTCTACAAATCAAATTTTAGATTAAGATACCAACTTAAACACAGAAACCCTTATCTGTAATGGAATTGTTGCCCAAAAAAATAGAGAAATAATAATAACCAAACACCAAGTACTGTTGGAATTGATATTATCATTTCTCTTAATCCGCCAACTAAATTGGTATATAAATTTATTAGAAAAATAAAAGTGCAACTATATATATAAGAGCAATTGTGAATGCTGAGTGGAAAGATTGGCAACTGATTACAAAGGCAAACACACCAAACAATAACATTTGCCTATAGAGTTGCAACAACTACAATATTTTAAGTTCACAGCTTAATCGGGTTAATTTCACTCTTATCCCCTAAACTACAACTTTAATCTATTTAATCCTAAAATTTCTGATTTCAGCTCCTATGATCCAATTAGAGATAATCAGGCCTCGTTTGGGAACAGGCTAATTTAGTAACTTTTTGGCTATTTGGCTAAAATATGAGCTAAAAAAAACTAGTATGTTTGGGATGACTTTTTGGCTTTTTACGAAAAGATGTGCAAAAAGTAGAGAGAAAAGAGAATCTTTCACTTTTTGGTATAGGTTGTTGGCTTTTTGGCTAATTTAGTAACTTTTTGACTTTTTGGCTAAAAATGAGGATTCCCAAACGAGGCCAGTCCAAATCAGTAATAGTGGAAACATAATTTGGACAACTTAAATCGAACAAGTAAACACCCATCGTCTTCATCACGCAATATTAGACAACTTGTATCCTACAACCAAACATCCATCTTCTTCTCCATTCTTCATTTCAAAATAATAAATAAAGAAAATGAGTTTTTGGTTGTATGGTTTAAGTAGTTCAAAGTTTGAAATGAGTTTTTTGTCATCAAATTAAACTTTGGATTAATTTCACTTTCTACTCCTGAACTATTGCCAAATTATTACTTAGTTTCTAAACTATTGATTGAGTCTACTAAATCCTAAATTATATAAATTAAAGTTTGCTTAGTCACTCAATTATTTAATTCAAACCTATTTAATCTTAAAAAGATTGGGAAAATAAAATACAAGTACACAAGTATTATAAATTAGTAAAAGATTTACCGAATCAAGATTTTATTTGAGAAAACATTAAATTTCTATTAGCTGAAAACCCCTACTTACTAAAATCTCCAATCGGATCATATTAACTGAAATTGAAAACTTTAATCACTAAATAAATCTAAATCAATAATTTAGAGATGAAAGGGAATAAAAGTGAAATTGACCATAAACAATCAGATCTAAAGTTTCCACGAACAAAGGCAAGAGACACATTGATCAACACTTCGAACATTTTCATAAATTAAGTGGATTTTGGGCCATAGGTATTGAAGTATTGAACTGAGAGAGAGAGAGAATCAGATTTGTACCTTGGACTTGAAGTTAGAGGGGTTTAGCTGAAGCACTGGTGATGATGGTCCGTACAATGCATCTACCCGGGAACTGAGATCGAATATTTGCAAGAAGAACAAAGATAACACGATCAACAATGGTGATGATCGATGCATTCTCTCTCTCTCTCTCTCTCTCCCTCTCTCTAAGAAAATAGATTTCGTCTCTTCGCGAGTGAATCAAATCGGAGCAGAAACCTCTCGACGCAGACAAGAAAATCCCTTCGCCCAGTTCTCCATTGCTGCAGGACTGAGAGGAGCTACGTGTGTCCACCAATCGGAGCTGTACACGTCATCACGCCATGGAATTTTGGAGAGAGTAGTGATAAGTTTACGGAGAAGGAAATTGCTTAGAGGTCCCAAATTTTTTACCAAATAAATGATTAAATGTCTCATATATAGGTGTGGGGTCCATAAAATTGCGGACTTTACAGACATTTGGTCATTTATTTGGTAAAAAATTTGGTGTCCCTAGCATTACCCTACGGAGAATTTTATATTTTCGCATCTCCCACACCACATTTTTTATTCAATTTGTAAAAATTTGGATAAAAATTTTATTTAGGCCGAGTTTGGGATACTTAAAAAAAAGTTAAAAAGTCAAAAAAATATTTAAAAAGTTAACATTATTCATCGAAAGTCAACAATTACGGCTGCATAACTCTCAATTCTAATTTTTCTCTATAAACTAATTTTTATAATTTTTTATTACACATTTTTTCATAAAAAGTCAAAAAGTTAACCCAAGCATCCATATTTTTTCCCTCAACTTTTTAATCTAAAAAGACAAAAAATGCACTTATTTATAACACCCCAAACAATCCCTTAGTACTGATTTGGCATGTTTAAAAAAAAGTTAAAAAGTCACTATTCTATTTAAGAGAGTATTTTTTTATTTTTTATAAAATATGGGTTGGATTTGAAGTGATGTGCTAGAGAGGTAATGTGACTTAAATAAGATGATGTAATTTAAATAAGATAGTGACTTTTTTACTTTTTAAAAACTTGTTAAACCAGTCCTAAGTCACATCATCTTATTTAAGTCACATTATCTCTCTAATATATCACTTCAAACCTAATTCATATTTTATAAAAAATCAAAAAAATATACTTATTTAGATCATTCCAAGCAACCTTTTATATTAAGTATTTCAATTGAAAATTTTTATTATTCATCAAATTATTCATCGATTGGGAGAATGACATGACAAATGACTGGCCAGTCGACCTATTTTTTATAAATTGAATTTGAAGGACAATTTTATAAGAAAGAAGTCGTCCAGAAATATAATTGACGGGTCATCTAATGTACTTGTAATACTAAAGGCATCCTTAATGAAAAATTGAAAGTTTTTTTAATTTGATAAAAAATTAAAAGCATTTTTAATTTGATATGGATTTAATGTTATGGTTGGGGTAGTAAGTTTGGACTTATTTCATCAAATTTAAATTTGATGAAAAAAAGACTTAGACTTCGTTTGGGAAGCCATGGTTTGGGTTTTTTTGGTTATTTTAGCCACAAAAAATAAAATAGGCTATTTTAGTCATAACAAACAAAATATCACATCCAATCCATAATCATTACATTCTTCTCTCACAAAAAAACTCAAAAAAGCCAAAAAGCCAAGAAGCCCTTCCCAAACCAAGCTTTTAAGCCCAGGCTAAAATAGCCAAAAAAGTAAAAAAGCCAACCCACTTCCCAAACGGAGGCTAAGCGTTGGAGATAGTCTTATACACCTCCATATTATATACATTTTTAATTACGTCATTTTCTTCTTTAATTATGATTAGTTTTTTTATTTAATTATGATATTATTTTAAAATTTTTATTATGATATTTTTGTGTTAAGTTATTTAGTATCGTTTGAGAAGTGGGTTGGCTTTTTGGCTTTTAATTTTTTTAGCTATTTTAACCTGGGCTAAAAAACTTGGTTTGGGAAGAATTTTTTGATTTTTTGACTTTTTTTTATGATAGAAGAGTGTAATGATTATGGGTTTGATGTGATATTTTGTTTGTTGTAACTAAAATAACCTATTTTATTTTTTATGACTAAAATAACCAAAAAAACTTCCCACCCACCTTCGCAAACAGGGCCATAGTTTTTTTTAAGTATAGTTAAAAAAATATAAAATTATACTTTTTTTTAATTATTTTTTTAATTTTTTATTTGAAGGTGTGTACTATCATCTTTACCGTTTACAAAAGACTCTGGATATTCCAAGCTGTCAAGTTTTGCAACACGTGTATAATAATGTGAGCCTTAGGCTTTAATTCCAGGGTTATTTACATAGATACCCTAAACTATTAAAAAGATTATTTGATTCCTTAAATTATAAAAAAGTATAAATAAATCTCTTAAATTAGGAATGTGCACAGTATAATTCAGACAGTTTGAGAGTAAAATTACAAATTGAATAGTGGATTGGCAAAACACAATTTAGGTGGTTTTAGACGGATTAACAGAATGAAAAATATTTTAACCAATTATCAAACATTTACATAATATATAATATTAATTTACATAAAAAGCGGTGCTAATTGATGCAATTTTAACAGATTGGACAGTATTTTACACAGTCCTACTCTAAATTATTGAGAAATATCACTTTGCCCCTTAAACTATAAAAGTATACAAACAGACCCTTTACACTATTGACTTGTTTCACTTTAATCTCTTCTATTAAAAGATATAATTGGTATGGATTTATAATTCACTTTGATCCCTTCTATTAGAAGTTATAATTGGTACGTTTTTATAATTTAGGAGGTTTATTTATATACTTTTATAGTTTAAGGAGTAAAGTGATACTTCTCAATAATTTAGAAAATTTATTTATACATTTTATAGTTTAGTGGTAAAAGTAATATTTTTCAATAGTTTAAGAGGTTTTCATGTAAATAATCCTTAATTCTATGGACACAAATTTAATACTTGTTAACATAACCCTTACTAATATTTATTGTGAAAAAAAATGCAAAATAATATTAGGATTTTTTTTTTTTAAAGATTTTTTGATGTAATTGTTACTTATAATAAAATAGTAACTAAATGTTTACCAAAAAAAATAGTAATTAAATAAATTAGAAGAAAAATTTGTGGAGTTCGCAATTTTTGTATGATTATACAGACATTCTGTAATTTCCTCTTTCTGGTCTTTGTTGTATTAAAGTTCATGTTGGGTACTTTTTCCGTATCGTATTCTACAGTCTTGAAAAAATAAATAAGGTTCTAAAAAATTCTAGATAAATTTAAAGAGAAAAAAATAAAAATATTCTAGAAAAATTCAAATTTTGAGAGAACTATGGACCAAGTCAAGATAAATTCAGAAAGTTCCTGATGCAGGCAAAGCCTCCGTTTGGGAAGTGGGTTGGCTTTTTGATTTTTTGACTTTTTTGACTATTTTAGCCTGGGCTTAAAAGCTTGATTTGGGAAGGACTTTTTGGTTTTTTGCCTTTTTTGAATTTTTTTATGAGAGAAGAATGTAATGCTTATGGGTTGGATGTGATGTTTTGTTTGTTATGCCTAAAATAGCCTATTTTATTTTTTGTGACTAAAATAGCCAAAAAAATCCAAACCATGACTTTCCAAACGAAGCCAAAATGATTTGCATCAGTTCCGAAAAATTTTAGAGTATTATAGAGAAATATGAAAAAATTCATTAAGTACAGAATTTTAAAATATTACATTAAAATAAAAAAAAAAAAAAAAAAAAAAAAAAAAGTATAACTTGAAGTCTAATGATGGTTGCTCTTAGTGGTCCCATCAAGACATGAATGGAGCTCACCAAACCAAGTAGGGTTTAAAGTGATTATGGTTGTATTAATTTGTCTATTATGTTTATTTTCTATATTTATTTTAAATAGGAAAAATTGGAAATAAATTCAATTTAATTTAATAAATATTTTTTTGGGTAAATTATAATTTAACCCCATGTGGTTTGCCTAAAAAACACGAAACCCCCTTATAGTTTCATTTGTAACACTTAAACTCTATATATTTCATACCAAAGTGTAATTTTCGACGAAACTGTTTGTTTAAACAGAACATGTGCTACACGACCATGAATGAAGAGTGGAACAATTTTTCCCACCCAAAAACATATGGCAAATGACCAAGATACCCTTGTTGCCATATATATATATATATATATAATATGGTATAGTGCAATAAAGCATGGAATACACTCTTGGCAAAACGTTAATATTTTTATCCCCAAACGAAATTCAGTGTTTGAGAATGGGTTTCATTTACCTCAAGCATTAACATCCTTTGAGCATTGGTTTGAGCATGGGTTTCATTTACCTCAAGCATTAATATCCTTTGGTTTGTTTCATTTACCTCAAGTTCTCTCTCTCTCTTATTATATAAATATACAACACCATAATCTTCCATGCAAAACCACTACCATCACCTTTTGTTTCCCCTCTCATCTCACCACCATCACCTTCCATGCAAAATCACAACCAACCAACATCACCACCGTCATATTCCATGCAAAACCACAACCAACTTCTTATTCCATGCAAAACCACCACTCAAAATCACCACCACAACTTATCTCTCTAAAAATTATCCACAACCAACTTCTTATTCCATGCAAAACCACCACTCAAAATCACCACCACAACTTCTCTCCCTAAAAATAATCCAAACCCACTTTTCTTCTTATAATTCAAATTAGTAACAAACCCAACTCATGAAATCAAACAATTAATATTTGTAAACATTTAGATTTTTGAAATAGCATTGATGGGATTCATACCAACCAAACCCACTTTTTCTTCCCATTTCCGACATTTCTTTGGCCCATCTTTTGGACTCCATAACTTTCCCGATTCTTAACGATTTTATCCCGTTCTTTCACCAATCTCCTCACCTTGCTTTATACTTCATTCTACGCTACCTCTTTTTTTCACTTCTTCCTGAAATGGGTGGTTTCGGCATACCGAAAGTTGTCCGAAACTTCACACACTTCAAAAAAATATCTCCAAATCTATTTCTTTCTTTTTCATTATCCACTCTCTTCTCTTGCTTCATCTATAGCACTTTGTAAAGGGTGGTTCTTGGTTTTGACGAAGCTGGGCAATGGTGGTGATGATGGTGGTCACGGTGAGAGAGAAGATATATATATATATATATATATATAGAGAGAGAGAGAGAGAGAGAAAGACAAGTCAAAACTTGGGTTTACCATTTATCCTTCTCCTTAGGTACATATGTTAACTTATCAATGCTTGGGTTCACCACTATCAAGACCAAACGGGCTGTACAATTTGTTGATTGGTGGTTTATAATGGCATTAAGAAGAAAATTAGAGAAATAAAT